GCCAGAATTTTACGGTCCTGGAGGGGTAGTTTCTCGACGCCGCGGAGTGGGGGGACTCGTCGCTGAGGACGAGCAGAGGGGAAGGAAAGGGGGGGGGAGAACTGCGATGTAACGTCGATATCGCGCTCTATACGAGGCGTCGCGACGCCGCGAGTGGGGCGCTCGCACGGGGCGCGGGGACCAGAAGGGGCAGGGGGGGGAAGGGGGCGAGTTCCACATGGGTAAAATAATCGATAGCGGCGACCGATATGTATGTGCCCGACCTGTATATAACGCGCCCGCACACGTGCACGCGCGACCAACCCCCTGCACGTTCACACCCTTTGCCGCGTGTGCGTGCACGTGTGTGCGTGCGGACGCGCGTATGCGTGTATGTGTGTATGTGGCACGCAGGCGCACGGTGTCGCACGAATTCACGCGCGCGTGAGATCGATGGGCACAGGCGGACGCGGCGTTACGTATAGGGCTTCGACGACGACATCGACTTTCCCCGCGCAATCGTTGGCCGTTGTTGTTAACCGCGAGACACTCGCCAATGGGGGATTTAAATCCAGTTTTCGATCTTTCGCGGCGGAACTCGCGCGCCGGCGGCGGCGGCGGTTCTCGAACGGCGGAACTTATTAAACGGATCGATTCGGCGAAAAACTTCTTCTCGTTATCGCGCACAGTTACTCCTATACTGTGCTTATATCTGTTTAATGTCCAAAGGCAAAGGAGCACCGCGCGTCCGCGATGCAACATACAAAAGGGGGCGCCCGCTTACGAATGGAGACATCAAACGGGCGAAACCTCGTTGTATAAAGGTGTGAATTCGCTTAGGGCTAAATATAGCCGCCTCCATCGCAAAATCTCTGTTCATAAATAATAGCGTGCTCCTTTTAATGTTGGCGACCCACTTTTCCATTTTACGCGATATTCTCGCAATTTCCTTGAAATACCTGAAATAAATCGCGCGTTCCGTGAAAGAACTCCATTGCATATTCTTCGATCGTACGAAAAACAAAAATAAATCGACGTAAAATCGACGGATTAGATGTAATACGTTAAAAATTTTATACGTCGCGAAGTTTAAATACGAATCAACGTTTTGGATTCACGTTCGAGAATCGAGAAAAGGATCGCCGCTCAGAATTTTTGCGAATCCTCGGACGTTCGACTTTGAGTACAAAAACTCTTGCCGATCCGGGCGACCGAGCGATTGCATGAAATTCGATCCGGGCGCAAAAAGATCTCCGTGGGGCCGAATGATTTTTGCGAATTAACGAGGTCCCGATGTATCGGCTTTTCGCCGTTCCCGCGGAATGCAATTAAATCGAAAGAGAGCCCGCGGGCTCTCGATATATCGCGATAATACGCGACGATTCGTGCGCCCGGCTGTCCCCCGCGTTCCCCCATGATTTTAACGCGAATTTCGCGCAACGCGACGCCGCAATAAAACGAATAACGTCCCGCTTGACGATCGTAGCTCGTTTCTTCCTTTTTTCTTCTTTTAATCCGCCAAACGCGTGGAAACGCAGAGAGATGATGCGTCCTCGCGTTTTCCCCCGTCGTCGCCGAGCCGTACACTTTCTTTATGGAAATCGATATCTATAATTATTTCATCACTCGCTCCGCGCATAGTATTACGCTCGCATTATGGGACTCTACAGACTCGGCTGGACGATGGAGACGATGATTGCGAACAACAAAAGTAGCGCGACAAAGTATAATTAAATATCCCGCTCCATTTTATTAAAATAAAAAGCTCGGCTATCACGTGAAGCTGTGATAACTAAATAGAAAGAAAAAAATGAAGTCTCTAGAGTTTCACGTTGTGCAAAATAAATCGACGGTATATATATGCCTGATTATAGAAATATTGAAATATTTATAATGTTTCTCATATTACATCTCGCTACGTTTAAAGAAAAGTCATTACGGTAATTCGATAATATAATTATAACAATTTCGCCGAGGGAGAAATATTAGGGATGAATAAAATATAGAAATGCTGAATAAATTATAAAAGTATATCCGAGAGATTCGACTGGGAGATTTGCGTCGTCTTGTGTAATCGAATAATTTTCATGTTATCTGTATTTGAGTTTTGCGAATCTCCCTCTTTGGTCGATATTACTTATTAGCGATTTGCTACAAACATTTATAGATCATAGACGTCAGATCAGAACATGAAAGTGGAGATATGCTATTCCGCGTAATTAACACAAACGACATACAGGCGTACTCATTGGCGTAACTGGAGCAGCGTGTATACATGTAATACATGGGCGTTGATACATCAGAGAGACGTCAAAGTCTCTCCCTTCCCTCCCTCCCGCCTCCCCCACTCTACCTCTCTCTGTAATTTTCAGAGTCTTTAATAATCACTTTCGAAAGATACGTAAATATAAACAGTTTCATCAGGATGAAAGAAAAAAGAATGACAGCTTCTCTGAGAGAGATTATACGTTTTGAGTGATTAAAGAAAATTTTACCTGACTTGTTATCCTTTAGTTTATTTCTTCAAAAATTTATTTGTCTTCTATTTATTTTATAAAATAGATTATATGAAAAAAAAATAGTATATCTTATAAATAATTTTGTAAATCTGTCTTTATCTTTCGATATATACATATATAGCAATGGTGTCATATAAATGTAATATTATATTATTTTATATAATTTTATTTAATTATATAATAGTTATATTAATTCGTATAACTAAATCCAAACGAGCTATAGATATATTCTATGTTTTATATACATTATATTATAGATAGATATATTCTAAGATGATTAAGGAGGACTCTTTGATTTGTATAATATATTATTATTTTTTCTCATTGCTAATTTTATTAGAGAAAAGCGTAACTTAAGTCATGTAATTAAATATAATAAATCTTCCTTGTGCGAATATGATCTACGTCCCAGGGAGAAATGTTATAATCTGATAGAATTTATCAGTGACTTTATTAACGATAATAGTAAATTATTATTATTAATAAAATCGTCTAGTTAAATTCATATTAATTTTCACGCTCATCTATATTCTAATTTCATTTAATCTTGTACTATCTTGTACTATCTTTAATAATACTCATTCCTAAAAGTACATAGCATTCGAATAGCATTTCCTTAGTCAATTTATGAAAATTAAATATATATTATTTTTATATTAATCAGTATAAATTAATATAGATATCTAATATTTATTAATTAATATGGATTGATTACAATTAAGAAGATTAAATACAGTAATAATAATGAGTGAAACTCGACCGTTTATATACAATCAATTAGGGAAAAATCCATGCCATTTCATACCATGCCATTTAATACAATGCCGTTAATACAATATGTATCATTTTTTACACTATTGTGTAAGTTAATAAGTTACAATATAATAGAATAACATTCAATACATAATAAAAGAAAACAACTTAATATATTTTTTATTACATTTAAATCAACATTATTATAAAATTAAATATACTCGCGTTTTCTTGTTAACTATTATTAGCTTTTTTTACTGTTTTAAAATGTATATATATATATATTTTGCCATTCAGACCAAAGAAAGACTATACAAACTTTGTCTCTCTGTGTGTGCATGTATGTATGTGTGTGGAAACTTCCAGTAGGATTTTATCTCTCTCTTCCGTGCAATCCTGTAAGTTCTCGGTCTGACGAAGAAACAGTTGATCAGTTTCTTCGTCATCTTTTTCTCCCTTTCTTCTTTTCGCTCTCCCCCCCTCTCTCTCTCTCTCTCTCTCTCTCTCTTTCTTATCTCTATCTTCCTTTCTTTTTTTCCTTTTAACAACGCCAGGCAGTGGCCAACATATGATCGCATATATGAGACGACAGTGGCCGAGTCACGTTTAAGGCACCGACAGGGTAGTCAAGCGGCAGGGAATTCCCTTCGAATCTCTCCCTCCCTCCCCGCCCGTAATGGAGGCAGCCCCCACGGTAGGGGCTCACCTGCCGCCAGGTGTGACTCCCGGCTTACTCGCCATCTGCATGAGGGACTCGTGCCGTGCGCGGGGGCCGTTTCCTCTTTACTTTCCTCGTGCGAGCGCGTGATTAACACACACACACACGTATGCGAAGAACCGTAAAACTTAGCACGCGACCACGTTCGTGCAGGACATACGTCACGGGGAAACGAGCGTAGCGGCGGTTAACCGAGCATAGGGTTACCTCGGTCAAGTCGAATTCTCTGCTTCGCTCGAGCTGAATAGGAAGTATAAATAATGAAATATAATAATATAAGACGATAGAGCGAACTTAAATGAAAACTCATTTAGCTTTAAAAGCATAACTGTAGAAATAGATTTTCTACAGTTTTCTTCCATCAAAAACAAGTAATAGTACATACATCCAAAATATTCTAAAATATACTTTACGAAAATGAGAATGTTTTCTCAAATAATTTGATTTATTATAAAAAACTTAAATATTTCATTAATCTAATGAATTAAGGGGTTACATATGTTTGACAGACCTAAAATTAGTCAAAATTAACGAATTTTTTAATGAAACCTAATTTTACCTATAACAATAAAAATTCATTAATTTCGACCTAGTTTTAAGACCTGTCAAATGTATGTAGCCTTGTAAAATAATATAATTAATCTCGGAATATATGTGAAATTGTCAAGCTTTTTTTCTAGTTATGAAGTATTTTAATAATAATGATGAAACATTGATAATGCTTCTTTCCACGCTTTTCTTAATATATTTCATTTTATTATTCCATATTTTCATCCATGTACATTTATATACTATACGAGGATTTATTTATTTTATTTTAAATATTCCACAGATTGAATGATGAATTAGAATATGGAGACAGAATAAATTGATCAATGTTAGCACATAATATTGCGAAATATTCACGAATGACAAAATTCATGAATAAATGGAGGGGTAAAAATCACAGGGGTGTAAGTCAAATTTTTAAAAATATTTTTTCGTGTGCATAAATGCAATTTATATATTGTATAGATTGCATCTATGCACACGAGAAAAAATTTAAAAAAATTTGACTTGTACTATGACTGTTACCTCTCCAAATACATGTGTACATATTTTATATTTATTATAACATTTATTATAACATTTTATTATTCTGCACATTTGCACATAGGAACTTATTCTTATAATAAATTCTTTGTCAATTGATGTCTTGTCACATAACAAATAATAATCTGTCATATATAATTAAATTATAGCTTTTGAACTTTACTCGCTTCAATCATATTCAGCCCCGATAGTAATGCTCATATCGTCGGAGATGATTTTCGTTTGGTGGTACCATCGATTCGTATCCAAGACGACTGTAATTGAAAATCACAATATATCAGAATTAATCAGAATGATGGAAAGAAATTGAAAACGTAATATAGCGTGTGACAAAATTGAATTTATTAGCGGTCGCAATTATCTCAAATACTTCTTCTAAAGTTTCTTTATTTATTTTCGAGAAAAAATTAAATCAATAATTTGATTTAAAGTATTGTTAAGCGAAATTAATCTTTTACTCCCGATCCAAGGACATAAATAAAGTATCCGCGTATCCCGCATTTCAGCGTTAAATGTGACCGAGCAATTCTCAATTTGGAACAACATTGAATGCAACTGTCGATCAGAGCGCCACATTTAGCGCTAAACGCGGGGAAAGCAATTAATTTTGCAGTTAATTCGATCATTATTTATTGGCATATATCGAATGGTTCTCACTTATCTCTCCGGTATGCACAATCACTTCCAGCCTCTTGCATGTGTAGTAACACTCCCGCGGCGGATCTAAAAGCCACAATTTTTCACCTTTTATCTGCGCCTGCCAGGACGGATAGTCCACATCGTCCACCTTGAAAAATTTCATATTCTCGAAATATAATACGATTAATGACAGTCGTCTGTACACTTAAACACACGTGCGCACATTTAAATATTAAATATATATATATATATATATATATATCTACATATCAATACAGTTACATACAAATACAGTTAATAATAAGATTTATATGTATATATTTATTTAAGAAATATATAATACAAAATAATTAATAAATCTCTATCAAAGTATGTTGTGCATGTCAATAAACAATTTTGGCAGACATTGTTCTTTATTTAAAAATGTCGTTATATGATTGTTATGTATAATAAAATAAGCTTCATATAATTTTCTAAATATAAGATATATAAGATAAATATAAGATAATATAAGATAAAACCTACATGCATCGGTGCGCCATAGCCATTGCTGCCCATAAAAATCCAATCCGTTTTCTTGCTTTCGGCAGTGGCGGGAAGAAAATATGGTCTCTGGTAATGCTGCCTTAATATCATGCCGATTTTCTCGTCGCAATTGCTCCTGAGAGGAAGGAAACAACGAGATAGCGTTATAGAATAGAAGAATAAAATTAGAGAAATTACAATAAATATTATTTTTTCCTTTCTGACAGTTTCATTGAGTTTTCGGAAACAGGAAATCGATCGGTCTCATCGAAATTTTCTATGGACAACCTTTCGATCGGCATGATACTGGAAATGATGTGATTTTCTCTGTAATCCTATTTGCGAAATCGTACGCGAACGTTGGTAATTTGAGGGAACATCGGAAGCCGTGAAAATACTCGCAGGTAAGTATACTTTTAACTCGCGACAAGATACGTGGAGTTTCTCAGAACCTATAGAGCTCATCTTTTACGCTTTCTTTCTTGTTTGCATAAAAAATATACATATAACTCAAAGCAATCTTAATGCAATATCTTTTTCTATTTTTTTTCTATCTTTATCTTTTAAGGAAACTAGAAAGAAAAAATTTTCGGAAAATATCTAAATGAAAAATGAAAAATAAAAACTCATTACGAATTGCGACAACTCTCACCACGTCGCTTAAGCGCAGTTTTCTAAATGCTGTTTATTTTGAAATCATTTTTCCATCACCTAACATATTATATTAATCGATGCGCCAGACTCTGCATGGACATAAGATAGTGATACCGAGAAAATATTGTCATTAATAAAACACTTTCAACTTTCGTCATGTATGAGAACCGAGAGAAGAGAAATAGAAATGAGGAGAGTATATCTAATTATTTTGTAATTATTTTCTTCTTCGTCTAATATTATATTAATCGAGCAGCGTACACTGAACGCCGAAGGAATAATATCGCAAGAATTATCATTAGCGAAATGCTTTTCGCTTTATCTATTTATAACAATTAAGGGGAGAGAAAAAGAAGAAGCGAATAAATTTAATAATATATCAATCGATATGGAGTAAAGCGGAGATAAGCTAATAATACAGATAAAATCGCCGATTAGCGAAATAATCCGCTTTCCACTTCTTTCGATTACAACAATTAAGGATGAACAAAAGGCCGACGGTTTATTTAGCGTAGCAAATCTCTCTAAAATATTAATAGCGCGGGAAAATCAAATGTGCGATGAACACCGATGACACGCGTTTCTTCAAAATTATTCATTATATTTAAAAATATTGTTCCCACGCGTTCCCACAGGTTTACCGATTCCCGGAATGTAGGCGCGAGCCCGTGTTTTGCTTTGATTCGCTCGCTCGAGTCACGCTTATGCCCCTCTCCGCGCCTAGCTTCAGGGTAGTCGGAGCTCGGAGCTCGAATTCGGAACGCGTCGACGGGATCGTGCGTGCATGTATGTCTCCAGTATCAATTTGTAATTCGCGCGCTCCCGCGCGCACACAACGCAGCCCCTCCACCCTTATCCCCCCCCCCCCCAATGCTACCTTTCTACTTATGACCGACATCTCAAGTGGCAATACCAGCAAATTAGTAGCACTCCTCTGACCTCTCAAGCAACCTACACAATCATCAGTGGACTCATCTGGCCATATTGCTCTCTGAAAAGAGGCAGGAGCCAATAAAAATAAAGAAGAAGAAGAAGAAGAAGCGCGTGTGTGTCTTCTCTCTCTCTCTCTCTCTCTCTCTCTCTCTCTCTCTCTCTCTCTTTCTGTCTCTCTCTCTCTTTCCTTCGCGCGTCGAAATCGTGTCGAACGCACGAATTGGGAATTTAGTGATCGGCCAGTTAATTGCGTGTGCGCGTCAATTACCATATATCGTCGCGATCGATGGCTCCGTCAATAGATATGTATGTATATGTCCGCGAACGTCGCGTTTAGCTCCGAAGCTCGCGCCGCCCGTTTCGAAATCGTTCAGATTCCAGTATAACCCCCTCCCGATCGATCGATCCGTTTACTGGAACGCGGGATTTTCTCGGCGGATCTTCCGGCCGATCAAACGACTGACCGTCGAGCGATCGCGTAAGCATAATAATGTCCAGCGAGAATTTTTCCGAAGAGAGGTTACGCCTGACGGTAGCATCGCATCGGTGTGAAGTCGGGTAATCTTGCTGCTCGTTTGAATCTTGCCGTTAGCCCGCGCTAATCGTCTGACGTCATCGGGATGTATCTCATGCATATATAATTACTTCAGTCATCGATTTCTTGCGGGATTTATTCGGACAAGGTGCGTCGCGAGTGCGATAAATGTATTATGCAATGATTTGAAGACTTCCTGCGAGATTCCAAGGTTCCAATTCGCCTATAATGGGAAATCCGCTCCCGCACGTAAGTAGTACATACATCACAACGATGTAGTGAATAAGAGTTTCGTTCTATGTAAGAACATATCGTGTTCGAATTATATTTTTATGGAAATAAGTGTCGCATGTATTGCAAAAACAAACATGTATTGAAAGTTGTAATTAGGCATTAGTCTGATAAAATTTTTCATTTGCGTTTGTCGGACAATTTTTCGATGAATTTTTGAGTACCGAAGTGACGTTGAAGTCAGGTTATTCTGATTTTTCGTTTGTTTAGGCAGAAAACCCACTTAGTGTCTATTTCTATCAATGTAATAAATAAAAGAATTAGAAAAGATAAGAAATAAGTTAAAATTAATCTTGATAGAAATAGACATAAATGATTCGTAATTCGGGTTAAAATTTAAGATATAGAATTGTAAATATAGATTAGAAGAGATATAGAATTGTATTCATAATTTTAATATTAAAGTATTTGAAGAATTAGCATATATTATCATTTTACGATTTCAAGTTAGAATTTTAAAATGGACTTAACGTCGTCGTGAGTGATTATTTCGATCGTTGACACGTTTAATTCGGAAGAAGGTATCGTCGCGGATATTACATATTCTGACTGTTTCGTCAAGTGAACTCCGTGCGACCGTACATCGCTCGTGCAATGGAATTTCCACGGATCGATCACCTTCGGGCGAGTTAGTTAATACCCTCGGTAATAATTGGCAGCGATTTCTACATTTGCCACGGTCATTAGTCGTAGTTGATCTCTTGATTGAAACTGCAAAATTAATGCTATAATTATAACGTTATATGATTTGCATGTTAAAAATCCCTCTCGTCTCGTCGTATTACGACGTTAAAACCAGACGAGCTATATAATTTGTGTCAGGTTTCAGGATAAAATTTTATTTATCCTGAAATTTAAATTTATTTATTTATAATTTCTACGTACCGTGTAATACGAAAAATATTTCAAGCGTCAGAAGATACATCCGTTGTGTAAAAGATATAGATATTAAATGAATATTTTAAAATAGCCGGTAAATAGAGTCCTGATATCCGACGCAAATTATGGATTATCTAAATTGGTCTTTAGTCGTTAAATATCGTGTAAAACGAGCATGTGTGTGTATCGATAATACCGAGAAAAAGTATCGGGCGACCATCACATTGTACGTAATAGAGTTGACGAATTTTGGCATCCCTGCGCGATATCGGGGCCCTAGGCTGCACCTAATTAAAAATTCACCGCCGTAAAGAATAAACGGACAGTGTCACGTCGCGTTAATTAGCCGTGAATTTTTACACATTTTATCATACCTTTATTAAACTTGCGTTAATTAAATTCGCCGAAATTTGTCGCGCTACCGCGCGAGGAGTCGAGCGAGGTCCTACGCGATTGTTTAGAGCGTGTCGTTAATTAAGTACGTGTTCGTTCGAAAAAAAATGGCAATCGCATCGCGCGATCGGCGAGTAGAGATTCATTTATTACAGACTACATGAGTTGTTTGTTTAATTTCGCCCTCGCGCGGCGCAATGATTCGATGCGCCCGTTGCGCAATAATAATTGGCACTCGCTTTGGCATTCGTCTCGCATTCGTCCTCCCCCCCCCCCCCCCCCCGTGAATGGAACAACGGAAAAATGACAATTACGAATTGCCCGAGTAAAATGTCATTTATTCGCCGTCTGCGCACGGCAATTTTAAATTGATATTCTATATTTTCGATAATTATGCTTACTAGGACGCGCCGCGGAGGAATGCGGCAACGGCGGTGAGCGAATTCATATTTTACATTTGCGCGACTGATTTACCTCGCTCGCGATTATTTTAATGTCATTGCGAGCGCGATGGTTTTCCGATAATGAAATTAATAATTATTATAAAATTGCTTAAAAATAACGAACATTCGTTTATATATCAGACCCGTAAGGAGCTCATAAAAAATTCGTTATTAATTCACTACCAATTTGAAAAATTTGTTACTGAAATTCCTCGTAATACTTTTCACGTTTTTAATTATTTTTTATCATTCAAGTTTCGAGAAAATTGCATTAATATATCGATTTTGTTACGTTGGAAAATCATATTATCACTTATCTCATTAATCTTCGTCTTTGCATGGAATTGAAAATCTAACGAGCTCATAAATTATCTCATGGATTCATAATCTCGAATAGCAATAGAATAATTTCGATAATTTCGAACTGAATATGAAACGCAGTTATCGAGGTCTAAAAATTATACAGAAAGGATAAAAGATTTAATGATCGGAAATATACGCATATATCGAGCATATCACAAAAAAAGATTGTTCAACGACTCTCTTCGTCCCCCCTTACGCATTCAAGGATCGAATGCGAGTCCGAGTTACTTACCATCCGACGTACCAGGGGGTCGTGCCCTTTTCCATCATGGCTCGATCGGCGCTCATGTCGAAGACGTCCTGCAGACTCCGAAATTCCGTCTTGTACGGGAAAAACTGGCAACTCGCTTCCGCCCCGTCGTAGAGCGTTTTGAAAAACGAGAAGGAGAACACTTTAGGTGCCGTCCAATTCGCCATTGCGTCGCTTATCACCACTGGTTTCCCTGAATACGCGTAGCTGATTACAAGTAAAGTACAATCGTGGAGAGATACCGAATTATTAATCGAACGCACAGAGATATTATTGCCAAGTGTGTCGTAAATAAATAATAAAATTATAAACAGAATTTTTCAGCAAGTTGTGATTATGACAAATTAATTCTTAGAAAGATTATAAGTTCTTTTCTTTTAAATAATGATGCGGTGCATTAATCTTTAAGAAAGCTCATTGTTAGCAGCGTTAAATAAACAAGTTAGTTAATAAAAAATAAGCAAATACTTTTTTATAAATTATATCTAAAATCGGAATTGACTTTTAATATGCTTCATTATTGTTCAAGTAAATAAATTAACAAAGTTAATTATTATATTAGGTTTTTATAAGCGATAATTGAGACACAATTCGAAATATTTTAACAATGACCTTTATGTCGTATAAGTAAATTAATTGAGACTAAAAGAACTTTTTGTATGTTGTTATGGAGTGATATTCTGAAAATTCTGAGAATATCGCGCATAAATTGATACTGAGTTAACAAAATATGCAGGATGCGTTTTAATACCGTTGTTCAAAGATCGTTGGATCGACGGCGGAGAGTTTGTCAACCTGTTGAACATCCTGGCAGATCGAACAGTCTTCCGGCGGTCGGAAAAGTTTTAGCACAAATGAGGGCGTCGTTACCCAGCACTGAAACAACGACTCACAGTTATCTGAGATTCACTCAGGTCTATAACTCGTAACAAAGATCCCCGTAACATTAATTCGCAATTAATGTCTGATAAAAATCGATTCTTTGTTTTGGATTGGATCTTTTATTCTTAGTCTCGCAATTTTGACCGACCAAATCTGAGTTTCGTCTTTTTGCTGTCTTAAGTATCACCAATTTATCTGGATAAAAACAGTCTGCGATCCGTGCTTTGTGACGTTCAATCGAGGAATTAATACGGAATCTGCGTCGAGGAAGATATGCATCGCATCGAGATAGAAACGTAAATTGTCGAACAACGTAGAATTTGTCTTACCTTGGTGTATTGATACGTTAGCACATGAGTCCTCGCAAGTTGTACCGTGATCCACGTGGCGATCAGCAAGAAGAGCCACAGGTGCCTCGCGCGGACTTTTATCAGTTTCGTCGGTCTCAGTCGCGAACGGGCGCGAAGAAGCAGCCAGGCCTTAACTGGAAGTCTCAGGTCGTCTATTTTTCCCAATATCGCGCTCAGTTCCTTTCGTGCGAGGTCCGTGGATTTTTTCGAAGAGTCCGCGCTGACCGCGTTGTCACTTGTATTTGTCATGACGAAACGACTCCGTATTTTAACAGAATTGACGATGAATTAATAATCTGTATTTCTCTTTTTCACGAAAATTTTTGAATTTTAATTTAAAATTAACTTAACGAATTGATATGTCTGATTAATTATAATTTTATAATTATATATAAAATTAATTATTTGGAACACGTGAATTACAATTTGTAATTCTGTTGCTTCAGAAAATGGGTTTAAATCGAGATAAATGTCACGGTATATCACGCAAGATTTGTTACAAAACAAAATCTTTTTTTTATTTTTACGCAATCGCAACGATTACTTATTGTGTATTCGAACGGCTCCAGTAGTTGTGATGGCTAACGTAAAACTGGGACGCGGTCCTTACCTGCTGCTCCAGCGAGCCAAGCTCCCCTCTCGCATTCACCCTCGTATGGGGGTGGCAACAGCAACGAGTTCACGGGGGTGTGAAACGAAAATCAGTGCCCATCGATCAGTGTCAATCGGGTCGCCGATTGGTTTCGATCGAATCGGTTTGGCGCAATAGGAAGTGGAGTGTTTCGCGAGTGCTTAACCCATTTCTCTCTCTTTGTCCCTTTCATTCAATTTTCCTCTCGCGGAAACTTCGAAACTTTTTTTCCGAGATTTCTGGACGCGTGATTTCTTAATACTGAAAAAATGTAGATAGTTTGTGAAATGAATACTTGTTACTCTTGCTTAATTTCACGAAGAAAAAAAATTTATAATAATTTAGGAGAAGATAAAACGATGGATTAAGAATAATTTAAAGATAATTTGAATTATAATGAAAATGAAAGAAAAAAAGGACCAAGAGAGAGATTGAATTTATAAAGAACAGAGAGTCGATTTTGCCGATTAATTAATATTTCGCTATCGTTCCACATGAGCGCGCACAATTTATACGAAAAGTAAGAAATAAAGAAAGAAGGAAGATTAAAGCCAAGGGAATTATGGGGTAAATTTTCCGCTTTTCCGTTTCATGGGGGAACGTGGGCGCGACACCTGTTATCTCGGGTTGCAGCTGGCCCCGCTCATCGAAGTGTACAGACTTCGCCGACTTAAAATACGATTGACCTACTTCACATTATTCCTTATACTTCGCGCAACCTGCCTGGACGACGCAGAATCTTCCCTCGTCGGGGAAGAAATACATGAGAAGAATATATACCCGCTTTGGAAAAATATTTATTTATAAAAATATATGTCTGCTTGAAACAATACTTTTATCCAACTGTTGCTTTCCGACCGTGCAAAAAGGGTTGTAAGCACGGATTGGGTATTATAATGAAGAGAAATAAGTCAGGCGAGAGTGGACACAAGCTAGAAAATTTATAGCAATTATCGCACTTAAGTCGCTTTTAATAAAATAAATTATTACGATTTACTTATTTGCGCGCGCGTGATATACATATATTTTTATTGATTTTTAATCCGGTAATAGACGAATTTTAACGTGGACTTTTTTTCCGCTCGTATTTGAACGTTTCACGAAGTTTTGCGAAAACCACCTCGCAGACCCGTGACTGTCAATCCGGCCGCACTTCGGCTGAAACTTTTCTTCGAAATTCGTTTTTCCGCGCGTGGAAACGGTACTTGCGAAACAATTTCGATGCGATTGGAAACGTGTGTGCGGGCGAGATTCGCTCGGGCGATACGCGAACGAGATTACGCGCGAGGAACGGATTTTACAATTGCAAATTGTCAATCCGCACGGCAATCCGCGTCTTAATTAACAATTAGCCCCGCGCCAAACCGGTTTCGTTCCGTGTGAGTTCGCCTTTTATGGAATAAAACCGCGCGCATCTGCCCTTACGTGTCCTTTTTTTCCTTCTCTTTTTTTCGTGCCCGCTTCTTTCTTTTTCGTGTAAAAAGCGCGCGACGAGCGAATCGCACGCGAATCTCGTTATCTCGGCGACGAGGCGTACTCTTCCCAGACACGCAATAAAATCGCAATCGAAGGGACGAAAGTCAAAAATGCGATTACATGCTCTACGAACGTTTAATCCCTTAAACTGCGCGTTCCTCTTCGGCTTGTGATTCGACGAAAAATATATATTTCCGCAACGAGCCTTAATTATTTAAACACACAAGTCTTTGGTAAGTTTTTTTTTATTATTTCTCGCACTACGCTTTATTTCGTTTGAAAGCTGGAAACGTTTTTCATTTTTTCGCACTCGTCGTTGATTAAAATTAAAAATAACATCTTTTTAAATTGTGTATTTAAAAAATATAAGAAATAAATTGTTATATAAAATACATAAAAAAAATCACAAATAAAATTTTACAAATTTTGTGTGTACAGGGTGTCCCATTTTAATTTAAACAGTTAAATATTTCGAAAAATCTGGAATCCTATATATATAATATATATCTTTCTTTTCTGTTTAATAATAAATGAGGGAAATAGGAAGAAGAGGATTTTCGAGGGATAAAAAGACGCACGCGCACGTGTCAGCGCAATTTAATTCTTTAATTGTTGTCAGTCGGATTCCAAATACACTAGTCGATCTTTATTATAATTATTATTGTATATATGTGGTACTCTTTCGAGAGATATAAACAATACATAATACAACGACGAAATAATGACAACATCTGCCTCTTCTTTGTATAACCATCTTAAAAATTATACATACATATACAATCCGTCAGTGGGAATCGCACTCGCAATTGAATCGCGTGTGAAACACATGTGAGTTAAATGAAAGCGATGATTTTTTTTATCCCCAGCAAGTTTTTCCCCGGGGGATGAGACGAGGGAGAGGTTCGCTCGTTCTTTTTTTATTGTATTTTTCGTGGTGCAGGCTTTTGCGCTCCCGTTATCGGAAGTGCAAAGTTACGCCAGCAGTTCTCTGATAACTGAATAATGATAGCAATAGATCGATCGTTGACGCGATTGTTGACGATTGAGCATCCTGATCGTGACATTTTGGAAACATATCGACAATCAGAATAGCATCGTCTCCTTAATGGTCCTAAGAAATATTATTATATAGAAGGATTACGAAACTGACTGTACACTTACGTCAACTAAAGTGCTCGATATCATGATATTACGCGTCCAAAAAGAATCGTATTATTTTATTACGAAAAACATCCAGAATAAACGTAAACGGGATTTTTTCTTTCTTCTATAGGATTTTTGAGATCCTCGACTCGTAAACTTTTTCAATTAAGAAATTCTCAAAATTCTACAAGATTTAAGATTTCCGGGTGTTCAAAAAATTTTTATGAATCTATAAATTTTTTTTTCATCCCTAGTTATAGAAGATATTTTCCATTCTTGGCCTTTAGAGATCTACAAATCCCGCGCGTTCTAATTCTCGGATTTTTCGTTTCTTTCAGTAACAATTAAGTATAACAATAACTCGTTCAACAGCAGATTTTTTTGGACGCCGGTGTACGTAACGCAAAAATCTACAGCTATGGAAGATCCTAATCGTCGCGCGCGAATAATCCTCTCCCTTCGCATCCCCTGCCCCCCATCATCGCTCCGTAACGTTTTTATAATTAACACTAAACGCGTGATGGTAGGTGGTGAAGATGGTGATCATAATGGTAGTGGTGGTGATGGTGATGGTGATGGTGAAGGTTCTCTAATACATCTAAGATGCACACCCATGCTTATTTAATGCTCCGTTAATTTAAATACGTATGCAGCACAGTAGACTATCATTTTTCTATTCGTTAATGCACGTGTTACATGTGTGTAATGGTAATGCGTGAGTACGATTTTATTAATTTTTTTTTCTTTCTTCACTTCCGCCCCCTTTCTCCAACCCCCCTTTCGCCCTCTTCTCGCTCCCTGTTCGAGTTTAATAGACGGCCTCGTCGAGCGGATCGTCGATCTACTTGTAGTAAGTCATCCCTCTCGCGATTGTTTTCCCCCTTTCTCAGTTAAAGTGGCGCGGCGGGTATTTCGCTCCCCCGGATATAATAATTCGACGTTTCCAAGTAGGGAAGTACAATATGGTTTTCGAGGCGACGGCGCCGTCGATCGTCGTCGACCGTCGATCGCGCGCGTTTCGCGAAAGTGCACCGACGACGCACCGATCGAGGCCGGCAGTCTCTCTGCCCTCTCTCCTTTTTTCTTCCTCCTTTCGACGTGTCGCGTAAGAATGCTTGCGGGGCGCGAGACGAGATATATTCGGTCCTTCGTCCTGCCTGTCCGTTTTCTCTCTCTTTTTTTTTCAGTCGCTAAAACGGGGATCGAAACCGATGTGAGTAATCTCCGCGAGATCAGATTTCTCCGCGCCTATGCCGGGACGCGTTGGAAAACGACCGACAATTTTTCCCGCCGTTTGTTAGCGCCGGAAATTGAGATAACTCATCGAAATTACGACGATTCCCCTGAATCTCTTATTCCAAAATTCCAGGGTGAAACAATGATGACCGCGCGGGATTCATCCTTTCTTTCCTTTTTCTTTTTTCTTTCTTCCTTTAACGCTATCAGTCTTTTCAAACCGCCAGCGATTGACAGCGATCGCGATCGGTGAATGCGTGGGATGAGTCGATCGGGAAACGGGATGATGATGCGTGTGTCGTGAAAAATCGCTCTCGATCGAATAAAAAACCGTTCGGCGGAGAATCTCCTCCCGGGGTAAGGGGAAGGGGCCCCCGCCGAATTTACCGAGTAGTGTCCTCCCGTTTTTAGGCCACGACGATTGTTCTTTTTTTCTTTTTTCGGGGAGGATCGGAGTCGTTATACCGCGAACCTCGCGAGATCGCCGGTTTCCGATTATATTTCGTAACAAAACAGGTCCGTGTGTCGGGTGTCGGAATTCGAGGCGACGAATAATCGGGCGTTCGGCTTAATTAGTTAGGTCGTTATTTCAAGATGTCGGAAATCGGGATCGACGCGGCGCTCAATTTCGACCCCTGCTCCTCCCCGCGCAGTTAAAATTCGCAGAAAATAACGCAGAACGTATACGAATAACAGGCGGTCGAGTCGATACGTATATATGGCCGAATAAATCGCGAGAAATAGACGCGGGAATAAATACCGGCGTATATCCGAATCGGTCGAATCGATTGAGCGAACTTGAGAACAAATTGGAGCCGTCGTAAACGATATGTCACGTAGAATCGTAA